CTGTGCTCCCATGCCCAGTGCAGCCCCTGCACCCCTCTGTGCCGGTCCACTGACCAGCTTCCTGTCCGCAGAGACAGTCAGGCGGCCGCCCCCAGGTCGCAGAAGACAGACACCTCCAGCATCGACTATGCGGAACTGCTGCAGCACTTCGAGAAGGTCCAGAAGAAGCACCTGGAAGTGAGGCACCAGCGGAGTGGGCGCGGGGACCACCTGGACAGGAGGGCCGTCCTGTGACAGGCGAGGGCGCGGCATGGGAAGAGCCAGGAGGGCCGTGGACCCCGGGGTCTTCAGGAGCCTGAGGACCTGCCTGGTGTTGGGGGTGGAGGCCACTGTTGTCTACTCCACCTGTGCTGGGGCACAAGTGTGTACACACAGGCAGCGCTCCTATGTGCACACAGGCCCAGCACAGAGGTCCTGGGAATGATGCACCTCTCCCCCGACCCCCAAACAGAGAGGACAAACCCTCCACCCATACCTTCTTGCTGTTTTCCATGGGCACCTGCCCCCATCTAATGCACTCCAGGACCTTGCCAGCTGGTCTCAGTGGTACCTGTCCCAGGAGAGGCAGGTCCCTGAATTCACCTGACAGCGTGTGGGCCAGGAGCCCAGCCCTCACCTATAGGGCCCTCCCCTTCTTCCTGGAGAGCACCTAGAGCTGGCTTGACCCTGAATAAACTTTTCCAGGCACCCAATCTGACTATCCCTTGGACCACAGCCCAAGACTCCACCGGAGGGATGAACTGAGCCTTAGGGGTTTCCTAAAGGTCATCAGACCAGCAGACACTTCCCAGGTCGCTGGGGATGGGCCAGCCTGAGGGCAGGGAGGGAAGAAGTGCCCATCCCTTGATTTGGCCTCAGCTCACACCTGGCCCAGGATTTGCAGGCCTTCCATTGGTCTAGTGAACTCTCAAGGGGCTCCCCAAGGCCAAAGAGTTTGTGCTTTTCCCCAGGGAAGGCGGGCTTTCCTGCCTGATTGCACCAGGTACCCAGGAACAGACACCTCCATTCTGCCAGTCCCACGCGGAGCCCCTCCACCAAGGAAGTTGCCCCAGGACCCAACACCACTACCCTAAAATGCACAACCAGGAACCAGGTCCGAGTGGCATCGCCACCACTTGGAAAGGGGCAAAAAACTTCTGGAAGAGGTGCCTGAGACGAAACGTTCCGAGATGGGTAGTCCCGGGACCCCTTGCTTCCCTGTGTGCCTGTCGCACATCCTCGGCGTGGGAGGCTCGCGGAGGCCCCAGACCCGCCGCCCGTCCAGCCGAAAGCGCGGGAAACACCCCCACCCTCCGCCTCACTCCCCGGGTCAAGAGCAAAGGCTGGAAGGTTGCGTTGCGCCCCTTCCCGGGGGCGGGCACCCTCCGCGGGTCCCACTCCCGC